AGCCATTGCTGTTTGCTCTGCCCTGAGACTCAGCTCCATCCAAGCTGAGTGAAGAGGCTTTTGCATATGAATGGCCTGGTACTTTGAAATCTAAACTTACCTAACAAACTGAAGCTGAGTCAGTGAGACCCAGAACATCCAAAAGAAGGCCCAAGGCTTGCATTGTTTCACAGCTGGGCCTCATCTGGGCACCTCCAAAATCCAAACAAGAAAGGAATCTGCAGATCTCTCCATAGCTCCTGCTGGGTGGCCTCAGGTAGAGACTAAATTAGCACCTCCTTGGAGATCCAAGAGCCAGTGTACCCAGGGATCAGAATAGGACCATCCAGATTACAACTCCTCAGATCCATAAGGGATACACTCAGGGGGCAGACTCAGTGAGCACCAAAGCCCCACTGAAGCAAGTCTTGCCCCATAAGGGTGTCTTCAGCACAGAAGTTCTCCCATCGTAGATACAGCTGATCCTCACAACCAGTTGGCCTGGAGGTCAATTCCTCCCAGTGATACCAACAACAATCAAGGCTTAACTACAACAAGATTGTGTACATAGCCCACAAAGGGGTGCACCAAGAGTGTCCACCTTAGGTAACTGGGGAGCTGAGCCACTGGGCCCTATAGGACACCTAGCACACAAAGCCACTCTATCAACTCAGGGAAGCAGCCAAAATGCAGAGACAAAGAAACAGGTCACAAATGAAATAAATGGAGGAAAGCAAATGACTAGATATAGAGTTCAAAAATACAGTTATAATGTTTTTCAAGAATTTTCTAGAAAAGGCTGATAAATTTAGTGAAACCCTCGAGTATATGAAAAAGGACCAACTAGAAATTAAGCAAACACTAACTGAAAGAAAAAAAATAATATACAGAAATCCAACAGCAGACCAGAGGACCGCTAGAATCAAGTCAAAGATTTGAAATACAAAGAAGCAAAAAACACCCAACCGGAAAATTAAAAAGAAAAAAAGAATCCAAAAGTATGAAGATAGTGTAAGGCGCTTCTGGGACAACTTCAAGCATACCAACATCCAAATTATGGGGATGCCAGAAGAAGAGAGAGACCAAGATATTGAAAACCTATTTGAAGAAATAATGATAGAAAATTTCCCCCATCTGGTGAAAGAATTAGACTTACAAGTCCAGAAAGCACACAGAACCCCAACAAAAGGAATCCAAAGAGGACCACACCAAGACACATCATAATTAAAAAGACAGAGCAAAAGACAGAGAATCATAAAAGCAGCAAGAGAAAAACAGTTTGTTACCTATTAATACAAGGGAGCACCCATACCATTGTCAGCTGATTTTTCAACAGAAACTATGCAGGCCAGATGGGAGTGGCAAGAAATATTCAAAGTGATGAATAGCAAGAACCTACAACCAAGATTACTCTACCCAGCAAAGCTATCATTCAGAATTGAAGGTCAGATAAAGAGCTCCACAGATCAGAAAAAACTAACGGAGTTCATCACTTCATCACCGCCAAACCAGTATTATATGAAATGCTGAAAGGTATTCTTTAAGAAGAGGAAGAAGAAAAGGGTAAAGCTAAAAAATTATGAACAACAAACATATATCTATCAATGAGTGAATCTAAAAATCAAGTGAATAAAAAAATTGAGAAACAGAATAATCTGGTGAACATAATAGAATCAGGGGCATAGAAAGGGAGTGGACTGACAATCTGTGGGGGGCAGGTGTGTGGGGGGCAGGAAGAGACTGCACAAAAATCATACACCTATAGATGAGGATAGTGGGGGCAGGGGTAAGGAACAGTGGAGGTGGGGGAAGGGCAGAGGGAACTAGGTGGAGGGGAGCTATGGGATGGGTGGGGGGGAGAGGAACAACTGTATTAATCTGATCAATAAAGATTAAAAAAAAAAAACTCAACCAAAAAAAAAGTCATGATAATAAAAACTTAGAAGAAAAAATAATTACAAATTGTGCTAAATGCTGAGAGGGAACAGTTCAAAGGGGAAAGTCCAAAGAAATAACCAGGAACAAACTTATCTAGTCACTTATTAACCCAGGTGAGGTGACAACAGTCAGAACAGAATGTTTTTGGTTTCCATTTAGTGATGTGCGAATCCTTCACATGTACAATGTGCTGAACATTTTGCAAACAACATTTGGTAGTTGAGGATTCATATAATCCTTTCACAAGATTCTAAGCAGAGATTATGACCTTCATTTTACAGAAGTGGAAACTAGCATGTAAAGAGGTTAGATAGCCTTAGCTGGTTTGGCTCAGTGGAGAGAGCATTATGCTGTGGACTGAAGGGTCCTGGGTTCGAATGTGATCAAGGGCACATAACCCAGTTGCAGGCTTGATCCCCACCCCTGGTCAGGGGGCGTGCAGGAGGCAACTAGTAGATGTGTCTCTTTCACATCCATGTTTCTCTGTCTCTTGCTCTCCCTTACACTCTCTCTGAAACAAAACAAACAAAAATAAATGGAAAAAGATTATTGGGTAAGGATTAACAACAATAAAATTTCTAAAAAAGAGAGATTATATAACTTCCTCAAACCTAGACAGCTCAATGGGAGAAAATTCAAAGGTCAGACAAAACCCAAAGGTCTTTTGTTTCTATATATATATTCCTTTTTCATGACCTTATTTATTTTTTGTATTTTTTATTCTGAAATATAGTATGCTTCTTTTTTTATTTTTTAAATATAGCTTACAAAAAAGTGTGGGATGATTTAAAGAACACCGTGCAATACCACCTAGCTCAAGGAACAGAATTTAACATAGCCCAGTAATCCTTACTCTAAATTTTGTTATTCATTCACTCTTACCATTTAAAAAGATTTTAAAAAAATATATTTTCTTATTGATTTCAGAGAGGAAGGGAGAGGGAGAGATAGAAACATCAATGATGAGAGAGAATCAAGGATCAGCTGCCTCCTGCATGCCCCCTACTAGGAATGGAGCCCTCCACCCAGGCATGTGCCCTGACCTGGATCAAACCATGGCCTTTTGGTTCATAGGCAGATGGTCAAATACTGAGTCACTCTGAGTAGGCTTTAAAAAGTTGTTATCATTGCCCTAGCCCAGTGGTCGGCAAACCGCGGCCTTGGTTTGCCGCTCTGTTGACTAATGAGTTTGCTGACCACTGCCTAGCCAGTTTTGCTCAGTGGTTAGAGCACTGGCCTGTGGAATGAAGGGTCCAGGGTTTGATTCAGTTTGAGAGCACATGCCTAGGCTGTGGGCTCGATCCCCAGTAAGGTGCATACAGGAGGCAGCCGATCAATGATTCTCTCTCACTGATGTTTTTTCAAAGTATGCAATACATTAAAATGTTTTAAAATGTTCTTTATTTTTAAATGTTAAAGGAACAAAAAGGCAATACACTGAAAAATCTCCTATCCTCTAAGCATTTCATTTTTTCTCAGAGGCAATGAATATTAACAGTTCCAGAAATATGCTGTTGCACATAGTTCCCCCTCTTACAACAAATAGTAGTATTCCACAGTACAGTTCTGAAGTTTGCTTAGTGAACAAACATCACAGGCACATAACCTGGTGGTCTCTGGAGCAGATTGGATGCATGTACTGCTCCAGTCTACTTTGCCTGTAACTGTGAATAGGTCATTTAATCATTCTCAAAAGATTTCATGAGAATTAAATAAGTTAATATAGGTAAAGATTTAGACCTGTGCCTATTAGAACTGTAACTATTAGTAATATAATCACATCGATGATTTCTCATCCTTTTTTTACAGTTGCTTGGTAGCTTATTATATAAATATATCAATTTATTTTAATCATAATGGATAAACATTTAAGTTGTTTCCAGTATGTTGATATTATAAACAGCACAGCAATGACTAACTTATTATTTTTCCACTAGGGCTGGTGACATCTGTTGGATAAAGTTCTAGAACTGGAACTGCTGGACCCAAGGTATTCTGTGCAGTTACACCTTTAATAGATCCTGGCAAACCGCCCTTCGTGGATACAGCATAGATTCTCACATCCATTAACCTAGAGGATACAGAGACTTGAGGAGAGAAAAGTAGGTGAGCTGCTGTGTTGTCTGGATGAGTCAACTGATGCCGGGAGAGACTCAGAGCTGGTGGTGGAAAGAACACCAGAACCCAGGCCTGTGTCTGGAGTACCTCAACTTCGTTCAAGTCCTTTTAAACCTTGCGTTATTTTCATGCAGGAGTTTCCTTATCCGATTTCTTATCATTCTTTCCGATTTTTTCCACAGGTTATTTTTCCGACCCTGGATCGATCCTATGCGCTGTCAAGCCACCTTTGGACCCTTGAGGTTTGCCAAGCCTGCGACCTCCCCGGTGCCAACCAGCTGTACCCGGCAAAGTGCCTCCAGGGGAGCAGAGCTCCGCCTCGGGGGCGAGTCCATTCAAATCGCAGCGAGGCCGGCGGACCGGAGCCCCGCCCCGAGCAACTGCCGCCAAGTTCGCAAGTTGGAGGCCGTTTGTCATACGTCAGTCTCCAGGCCTCAGGGGCCCGCCTCCGCGCGCCAGGGCGGCTATTGGAGGAGAGGGCTGTCAGTCAGCAGGCCCCGCCCCGGGAGGCCGGCCCCGCGCGGCGTGCTCGCAGTTCCGCGCGCGAGTCGTGTCGGTTGCAGTCGCCGCGGCCACAGCGGCTGTTCGTCCGCAGGCGCCGGAGCCGGAGGTAAAGGCGGCCTCTCCTCCGTCCTCTCCCTCCGGTGGCAGGCGCGATGGCGGACCCCGCGGCGGCGGGGGCCAGCGGGGAGGCGGCGGCGGCGGCAGGTTCGGCGGGTCTGGCGGGCTTGTCCCTGGGGCACGGCTTCTCGAGCTACCGGCCCTTCGAGCCGCAGGCGCTGGGGCTGAGCCCGAGCTGGCGGCTGACGGGCTTCTCGGGCCTAAAGGGCTGAGGCTGCAAGGTCCCCCAGGAGACGCTGCTCAAACTCCTGGCGGGACTGACGCGGCCCGACGAGCGGCCCCCGCTGGGCCGGGGCCTGGGCGGAGGCCATGAAGAGGTGGCCCAGGAAGCCGGCCTGCAGGTCATGGCGGAGCCCAGCCCGGCCTGCCCGGCCCTGGGCATCGGCATGGACTCGTGCGTGATCCCGCTGAGGCACGGGGGCCTGTCCCTGGTGCAGACCACCGACTTCTTCTACCCCTTGGTGGAGGACCCCTACATGATGGGGCGCATCGCCTGCGCCAACGTGCTGAGCGACCTCTATGCCATGGGCATCACCGAGTGCGACAACATGCTGATGCTGCTCAGCGTCAGCCAGAGCATGACCGAGGAGGAGCGAGAGAAGGTCACCCCGCTCCTGGTCAAAGGCTTCCGGGACGCCGCCGAGGAAGGAGGGACCACAGTGACTGGCGGGCAGACCGTGGTAAACCCTTGGATCATCGTGGGAGGGGTGGCCACCGTGGTGTGCCAGCCCAATGAGTTCATCATGCCCGACAGTGCCGTGGTTGGGGACGTGCTGGTGTTAACCAAGCCCTTAGGAACCCAAGTGGCCGTCAATGCCCACCAGTGGCTGGACAACCCTGAGAAGTGGAATAAGATAAAGATGGTGGTCTCCAAAGAAGAGGTAGAGCTGGCCTATCAGGAAGCCATGTTCAATATGGCTACCCTGAACAGAACTGCTGCTGGGCTCATGCACACGTTTAATGCCCACGCCGCCACAGATATCACAGGCTTTGGCATCCTGGGGCACTCTCAGACTCTTGCCAGACAGCAAAGAAATGAGGTGTCCTTTGTCATCCATAACCTGCCAATCATTGCCAAGATGGCCGCCATCAGCAAGGCCAGTGGGCGCTATGGGCTCCTTCAAGGAACCTCAGCAGAAACTTCTGGGGGCTTACTGATCTGTCTGCCAAGGGAACAGGCTGCTCGCTTCTGTTCTGAGATAAAATCTTCCAAGTATGGAGAGGGCCACCAGGCGTGGATCGTGGGCATTGTGGAAAAGGGAAACCGCACAGCCCGCATCATCGACAAGCCCCGGGTCATTGAGGTCCTGCCTCGTGGGACCACGGCCACAGCTGTGCCTCCAGACCATCCCAACGCCTCTTCCGAACCTAGCTCTTGAGATGGAACAGCAGAAGTGGTTTGAGCCTTACAGCCTGTGGACACAACCATGGACGATTCTCAGGAGTTGACTTTAAGAACAGATTTCCAAAGAAGGCTGCCTGCATAGGAGTTCCATAGTTGCCCTTTCTTGGTGATTGAATCAGCCCATCATCAGCTGCACATCCAAGGCCAGAGTGTCATTTTGGACTTTAGGGGAAGGTGGTTTTGTTTTGGCATGGAAGGGGAGCTCAAAAGCCTGTTTCCTCTTTCCAGGAGCAAAGTGAGGAAATTCCCATCTGAGAATTGGGGGGGATGCATATATATGCAACTAAATTTGGACCAATGTGGTTGATAAACATAAATTGTTAAGAAAGATCTTATAATGCAATGACAGGTTCTTTATTAGACTTTTCTGAAATACTGTCTCTTTCCTGCCCTGGACAAGAATTGAGCAGCTTGTCCAGTGACTGGGAAAGGAAGACCTGCAGCCATCTGACCTGGTCTCTGTTAATGATGCCTCTTCCTCTAAACCCCTTTAAGGACTGGGAGAGGCAGAGCAAGCCCCAGAGCTCAGGCCATGGTGGTCATTAAGATGTTAAATTTTGTGTTGAAATTTTCTGATGATTTCATCAGTAAACTGATTTCTAGTGAACTAAATAAAAAGCATTTTGTTGAAAAGTCACGACTAATGTTTGGATCCTTGGAGTTCTGAATCTTTTACAATGTTATCAAATGAATCAATTAGCCGAAACCGGTTTGGCTCAATGGATAGAGCGTCGGCTTGGGGACTGAAAGGTCCCAGGTTCGATTCCGGTCAAGGGGCATGTACCTTGGTTGTGGGCATATCCCCAGTGGGGGTGCGCAAGAGGCAGCTGATCGATGACTCTCTCTCATCGATGTTTCTAACTCTCTATTTCTCTCCCTTCCTCTCTGTACAAAATCAATAAGATATATTTTTTTTAAAAAATCAATTAATACATTTAGAGTCTGGACCAAGTAGAGAGTTTTCTCACCTTTCCCTGATCCTGGACCAGGATTTAACCCCCAGATTTAGGTTTGCATTTTTCCCCTGAGTTTACAGCAAAGGACAAAGCAGAGATACAAGGTGGAAGGACTAGAAGGTGGGAGAGGAAATAGCAAACGTGCCAACAGTCCTTGGAAAATGAAAAGTAGGTGGGAGAGGGTTACTGACTTAGCAGAATAGAGGCAGCCAAAGTGTGAATGCCTCCTGAGTTGGGAATACTAACAGGAAGTGAGGAGATATGCTCCAGAGATCCTAAGGGACGTGGGATCAAGGGTGGGGATAAAAACAGATTCTGGCCCTGGCTGCTTTGACTCAAGGGTCCCAGGTTCAATTCAGGTCAAGGGCACATGCGTGAGTTGTATGTAGGCTTGGTCCCCATAGAGGGCCTGTGGTTGGCAGCCAATCAGTGCTTCTCATCATTGATGTTTCTATTTCTCCTTCTTTGGAATCAATAAAAATATCCTATATAATAAAAGGGTAATATGAAAATCGAACAAACCATGGAACTACTTAGCACTCTGAGGCTCAGTGACCACCAGGGAACAGATGCTCAACCACAGGGGGAGTGGTGCTGGGCTAGAAGGCGGTGGAACCTCTCAGTGGGACATCCCCAGAGGGCTCCTGGACTGCCATAGGGTGCAGGCCTGGATGAGGGACCTTCATGCCCCTGAGTGCACCAATGCTGTGCACTGGGCCTCTAGTATTTAAAATAAACCAGATTAGGTGCTCTCCCCTCCCTCCTGGTTTACACCCATGCCTTTGCCTTCCCCCTCTTCTTCCCCACAGGTGCATTTTCTCTCCTAAGTTCCAAGGGCCTCTCTTTTGCTTCTGTAACTTGTTTCCTGGACCTACACAGCACAGCTCACTTCTACCTTTGTAACTTTCTAAATCAACTTTCATAATTTGAAGGGGAAAAAAAGTATTCTTTAAAATATATCTTCTTTATTTAGCAATCAATTTGGTGACTGAAAACAAAAAGTGTGTTCAATCACAAAAAAATAAATACAATAAAACATTAAAATAAAACAAATTGGAAGTTTATTCAGAGTAATTATATGTTTTAAAATTCTCAAACTTCTCCCTGGTTCACACAGCCAGAAAATGCTCCTCAGCTTGGCAGATAAAGGGAAGTTTATTTTATGGAAAATGTGAATTAAAAAGTACTGCAAAATCAGGGACACCAGGCACAGCAGAGGGCAGGGGACTTGACCAAAAACAGAAAAATAAAAATTGAAAAAATGAGGGCCCAAACCTCTCCCTCTGCTATTAAAAACACCACAGGAAGCTCATACCGCTGCTGATGGAGAAAATGAATATGCCCAGAAAGAAGACATAAATAGAAACATTTGAGGAGCCCCCAGGTAAAATCCCTGTATGGCAAAGCTGGTTTGGCTCAGTGGTAGAACGTTGGTCTGCGGACTGAAAGGTCCCAGGTTCGATTCTGGTCAAGGGCATGTACCTTGGTTGCAGGCACATCCCCGGTAGGGGGTGTGCAAGAGGCAGTTGGTTGATGTTTCTCTCTCATCGATGTTTCTGGCTCTCTATCTCTCTCCCTTCCTCTCTGTAAAAAATCAATAAAAAATATATATATTTTTAAAAATCCCTGTATGGGGAAGTCTCCCAGTTGAACATCTTCACTCGGGCACATTCTTTTTAATGCCTAACTCTTAAATAGGAGCAGTCATTGGAGGCAAGCCTCCAACTTGAAAGAAGTCAAAGCTAACAAATTCAGGAAAGGGACAATACAGGGAGTGGAAGAAAAAAAAAATAAATGGAGGCAAAGATAAAAGATAAAGTGTCCATGAAAACATAAGAACAAACCATGTAGCCGAAACCGGTTTGGCTCAATGGATAGGGTGTCGGCCAATGGACTAAAAGGTCCCTGGTTCGATTTCGGTCAAGGGCATGTACCTGGATTGCAGGCACATCCCCAGTGGGAGGTGTGCAGGAGGCAGCTGATAGATGATTCTCTCTCATCAATATTTCTAACTCTCTCCTTTCCTCTCTGTAAAAAATCAATAATATATATATATATATATATATATATGAACAAACCATGTAGATATTTTAAAATTCAGTAGGAGACTTAGAAGATAAAGTTGAGCCCTGGCTGGGCTGCTCAATCGGTTGCAGCATCGTCCACACACTGAAAGGTGGTGGGTTTGATTTCCAGCCCAGGCACATACCTCGGTTGGGGGTTGAGTGCCTGGTTGGAGCACAAACAAGAGGCAGCCAATGAATGTCCCTCCTTTCCACCCTCCCTCCCTCTCTCCAAAGTCAATAAACATAACCTTGGGTAAAGTTGTTTTTTTGTTGTTGTTGTTGTTTTTAAAGAAAATACAGGTCAGGAAATTTACCAGAAAGTAAAACAACAACAACAACAAAAAAGATATACAATAGAAGGAAAAAGAAAAGAAAATCAGAGGTGAGCCATGAGGTTCAACATCTAAGAGGAATTCCAGGATGAGGCAATAAAGCCTATGGAAGAAAGAAAATTATCAAAGAGTAATACAAAAAAAAAGTTTTTTAACTTAAAAAGTTGTGTCACATACCTCTTAATTCCCAGCAGAGTGAATAAAAAAAGACTAACTTTATTACTAAAATGTAAAGTGCCAGGAATAAAGAGATCCTAACAATCATCATCATCGTCATCATCATCTCCACAAATGTTTATATAATGCGTACTCCTTGCCAGGCACTGTTCTAAGTATTTAATGTATTAACTCATTTAAAATTCCAACAACACCCCCCCACCCAAGCCCGACGGCTTGGCTCAGTGGTTGAGCATCAACTGATGAACCAGGAGGTGAGGTTTGATTCCCAGGCAGGGCATATGCGCAAGTTTCGGGCTGGATCTCCAGTGTGGGGCATGAAGGAGGCAGCTGATCAATGATTCTCTCCATCATTGATGTTTTTCTCTCTCCCTCTCTGAAATAAATAAAAATATATTTTAAAAAAATAAATTTGCCCAAGGTTAACAATCAGTCTTTTAGGCAGTGTGACTCTGGAGTCCAAGCTTGTATTCACTATGCTCTGCTATAAACTCCTGGGGAGAGGGGAATATCCTGTACAAAGGTTCTGGGATAAGAATGGTATCAGGTCAGCCAGTGTGGCTCAAATGGTTAAGCAGCAACCTATGAACCAAGAGGTCATGGGTTCAATTCCCAGTCAGGGCACATGCCGGGGTTGTAGGCTGGGTCCCCAGTAGGAGTTGTGCAGGAGCAAACAATCAATGATTCTCTCTCATTAATGTTTCTCTCTCTCTTTCTCTCCCTTCCTCTTGAAATCAATAAAAAAATATATTTAAAAAAAATATATATATATATTTAATTGACAATATATATATTTAATTGACAATATATATATATTTAATTGACATATATATTTAATTGACATATATATATATTTAATTGACAAAATATATATTTTTTTAAATTTCAAGGGTAAATTATTTTCTAAAATGTATAATTTTATTCCTAGCCACATTTAAATATGAAAGGGGTTTCATCCCATGCACTCTTTCTCAAGAAACTACTGGAAGATGTGCTCTAGCAAAAGAAAGAGCAAACCAGGAAAGAATAAAACATGGGGTTCAGGAAATCTAACCCAGCCAGGGAGAGAGGTGAAAGGGGCTATCAAGGTAGATGCCTGGAGAGCAAGTCCGTGCTGGAGCAGGAGCCTGGGAGGCTTCCAGAAAAAGGAAAGTGGAACAGATACAGCATTGATGCATTTAATTTTGTGAAAAGTTGTATTGGGAGGCTAATGGAAGATGTAAAAAGAAATAGTGATAATTACATATATTTAAAAAAAAAAAAAAAACACTAGTCGGTCATATTGCTGAAGATTAAAATGACAAAATTGAACCTTACCTCAGACACATAATGAGAAGGCAGGGTTCTTTGGAAAAGACAATAGTGCTGGGGAAAAGAGAAGGCAGCAGGAAAAGAGGAAGATCAAAGGCGAGCTGGAGTGACTCTGTCAAAGAAGCCACATGA